TAATCTATTTAAATTGTCAAATTGTTCCACTGACATTCTTGTCAGTTTGAAAAATTCTTCGTGATTATTCATTTGGAAATATATAAATAATGTATGATGAGCACCAAAATTTTGTCTCATATTTCTAGTAATATGGGGTTTTACCCACCATCTTCTTATAATTCCTTTTTTACGTTTTCTTACACATAATCTCAGTCTTATAATTTGCATCCAAATAAGTAATAAATTTAAATAAATATTTAACGTTTCAATTTCCATGACGTCTGACTATTCCGACTTGCGACGCAATTGTAGACTAGTTAGTCGTATTCATACCCGACATACAACATGCGACAAGCGACTAACGACACCCGGCTCCGTCATCCGACTTATTGTAGAACGGGTCGATATGAATACGACAAGCCATTCTACAATTGAGTCGAATGTCGGAATAATTGTTCGCATCATCTTTCTTTTTCTTAATGTTTTTATAATCCACATCACGTTTGTCATATATGCAATGACTTTCGCGAACAATATCAATAATTATTTCATCTGCAGTTAATGATTCCATGATAAGATACCGTAAAATAATAAGGGTTATGTTTAAGCCTGATCTACAATAAGCCGTATGTCGCTGCTGGACGTCGTTATATTATCGTTTGTCGAAAGAAGTTGTCGCAAGTCGAATATCGATGTCGCAACGCAAGATGACCAACTTCCATCTTTTCCGATCGCGACAACCGACATAAGTGCAATTTAACCTAGAAAACGAAATGGAAACAACAACTGTAGATGAAGTTATCATTAATTTTGTACGAGACAATACATATCTCTGCAATAAAAAAGACGTTAATTTTAAAAATATTATTAAAATAAAAGATTTGTGGCAAGTTATATATCAGGACAATTAAAAAATTTATATGATATAGATATGACAGGTAAAAACTTGAAAAAACCTATTATAAATATTATATTGTAAATATACAATAAATTTATTTTTTATAGCTAATGCGGTGGAAAAACGTTGGTTGTCATTAAGAGATATGTTCAGTAGAGAATCTAGAAAAAAGTTATTGCCATCGGGATCAGGTTATCAACCTAAAAAAGAATGGGAACTATACAAAATGATGCTTTTCTTATCTCCTCATATAGCACACAGACGGTTGGTTTTACATGGTTGTGATTATATTATTACATTTTACTTAATATTTTTTATTGTAAAATTATTTTTAGAACAAAAACGTCACTACCATGCCGATTGAGTTGTTTAGTACCCTCGGAGACTGAAATAAATAATTCTTCAAGTTTTGATGGATCTGTTCCTTCTCCAATAGCAGACTATGACAATATTGAAAGTGAGAAAGGTATGACAAGTATATGTGTATTGATCTTTTAAGTAAAAGATTAATTAAATTTATTTTATAGTTATAAATAAAAAATATATATGTCTTGTAAAAATTTCCAGAAAATAACATATCAAACGAAAATGAAGTGATTATGACAGTCGATTATCAATCTGAATCAAGTCCTCCTAGTGTATTATCTAGCTTTTCCTGTAGCAGTAGTTCATCTAACATATCTAAGATACACTTTCCGAGAACATCAAATTTTGGTACACAGAATGCAATAAGTCCTCTATTTAAGAGTATAAAAAGTGTTACGCCTGAATTGGATACTTTTGTAAAACGTCGAAAACAAAAGGATCTACTAATTGATCAACAATTATCTGAAGCGTCTTCTGCAATATATATCTCATGCTGTACAATCAATTTTATCTCATATGTCAAATGAAAATAAAAGTGGTTACATGTTAGCTGTAGAGGAAGGTATAAAATATGTTCCTGATAAACATAAAACTCAGTGTCTCATAGAAGTATTACAGATAATTCAAAAATATGAGGAGAGATAATTATTTTTATTTGAAAATTTTATTATTAAAACTTTTATTAATATTGTTTTATTTTCAACGTATATATTATGTTCCTTATTTCAACATGTTTTAAGAGAGTATAGTTTTATTTTTAACATGTTATTTTAACATTTTATTTTGATATATATTTTATTTTTGACATGTATTTTTTTTTACTTCACTGTTTTAAGAGAGTATAATTGTGAACCTTATATATGTATATGTTTGACATATTATAAATACAAAAATATATTATAATATTAAAAAAACAAATTACACATAAGCAAAAATGTTTTGGTATTTACTTTATTGTATTACAAAACTTTTTTATACTTCATTTTCTATTGGGTATAGGAATAAGTTTCCGCCCATTGTAGAAAGATGTCGTTAGTAGCATTGCTTGTGTGTTTGATAGAACGGCAACATATGTGTTTGAAAGGTTTGTGTTCAAACTTTTGAGCCCAATAGTTGGCATTCGTTCGAAGCGTAAAAAAGAGTAACTTTTTTTGCGTTGAAGATGTCGGAATTTATTCCAAAAAAGCAACATTTGCGGGAAGTTTTACTCCATTATTTTATTTTAAAGAAAAGTGCTGCAGAATCGCATCGTTTGCTCGTAGATGTTTACGGTGAGCATGCTCCGTCGAAAACCAGTTGTAAAGAATGGTTTCGGCAATTCAACAGTGGTGATTTTGACATGCGTGACAAAGAACGCGAAGTGCACCGAAAAAATTTGAAGATGCAGAATTGCAAGCATTACTCGAAGAAGATTCATGTTTATCGCTCGATAGGTTGTCAAAAGAGTTAAATGTTGATAGATCCACTGTTGGAAAACGTCTACACGCAATGGGAATGGTGCAAAAAGAAGGAAATTGGGTGCCATACAAATTGAAAGAGAGAGACATGGAAAGACGTTTGGTCATCTGCGAGATGCTTCGTTAACGACAACAAAGGAAGGGTTTTCTACATCGTATCGTAACTGGCGATGAAGAATGGATCTACTACGATAACCCTAAACGCTTGAAAGCATGAGTGATGCCAGGTGAACCAGGTCCATCAACGACAAAACGAAATATCCATGCTTCGAAGATTATGTTGTGCATCTGGATCAGAGAGCTGTTACATATTATGAGCTGCTCAAACCGTCCGAAACATCGACATCTAGAATGGACCGCTGATGGCAATGGTGGGGGTAGAAAGACGATTAGAGTGAGAGGCAGG